TCAAATTTACATAATTTAATTTTCCCCTTGCCCTAAATGTCATTCATTAGCAAAAACATGTTTGTTATCTGATGTTTGCTTCTTTAATTTTGCACTGAAACTATAAGGCTAATGTAGCTGAGAAGTAATGGAAGCTTTACCCATTAATTAGCATTGAACTCATAACTGAGTTGAGTAATCTCAAATAGACTTGCTTATGTGGTTTCTTATGTGGGTAGCTACACTAGCCTCGTAGCACCAACGTACAACAAACCTATCCTGGCTGATAAACTACAACTATTTGAGGTCATGGGAAAGTTATGTTACTTTAAATTTTTTGCAAAACCATCATTAACCCAAAACTCGAATGCAGCTTTACAAGATTCTTCAGTAATGCCTATGGACAGGGTGTAAGAGGGACAAGGGCCACTCTCTGAGAGCATCTACATCCCAAAGCCAATTAAGATTGGGTAAATATTTATTGCTTTGCAAGTAGCATTTGGAGATTATCCCAAGGTCAACTTGGTCTGTTCTTAATTTGGGGACATGCTGTTGAATTCACTTCTGGCCCTTAATCAGATGCAGCAGGGAGTACCAAGGGCAAGAAGATATGTGAAATCCACGGTTTGAGAGATTTGTTCACTCATCTGTGGAACAATCTCTAAAATCATTTTTCCAGTAGGACTTTAGGCTTTAAACTTAACTATATATAAGGGCATACTAAATATTGTATATAGGCTCTATATACATACATACATACAGTGCTCAAAAGTTTGGGAACACCTAACATTTCTAGATGTTTTTTAATAAATAAACATGTAATGTATGTAATAACATAATTTTCCAATGATTCCGCTGATTTGTCAAAATGTCTGCATAATTACATGGTTAAAATGTAAATAAAACCATTCAGTGTGGTTTGATGTGAAATGCACAATTGTAGACACCCCGTCACCGCCCCCAGCTTGCAGCTCGGCCGAGACTCACTCCTTGCCTTGGTGCCTCTCGTGGCCGGCACCATCGTCTTTGTCTTGCTCCTCACGCCGTCACTCGCGTGACCCGTGTCCGTCGGCGGAGCTCGGGCTTTACGCTCCGCCCCCTCCCCACTCGCAGCTCTCTCCCTGCTGTCGGCGCCAAGGTTCGTCGCTGCTGGGTGTTCGGGCCCCGCCTTCCTGCTGGCTCTCGCGTCCATCATCGTCGGGGCCCGGGGGGACAGGCGCATGCCACACTTACCAATTCAGAATTGTTCACAGTTGTGGTGATAGGAACCAGACGGATATGGATAAGACTGTCTGATGCCTGAGACATTGTTTTACAATAGTTTTGAGATAAAGTTTTATCCTAAACCATATATATTTAAAAAATCTGTAGGACATGCAGGGCAAAATAGTGCCCAATCAAAGTGAATTTTTTCACCACTTTTCCATTGCCAGCATTTTATATAACAACTCAGAAACACATGTAGGTTCACCGGTCATTGTGGATAATGAATAAATTGCTATATTTGTGCTCTAGACATTGCAACCCCTGATTCACCATCATTTTAAACAAATCCAAGTCAGTAGGTTTTTTCTACAAAGCACCATTTCACACCAAACCACTCTGAATGACTTTGATTGAATTATGCTAAAGGAACAACTGACAAATATTCTTTGTGTTCTTGTTGTGATGTCATCTGCACTGAAACCTTTCAGGTGTTTAAACCTGAAATAAAGTGAACATGAAGCTGCGTGTCGAAGCTAAATATACTAAATATAAGAATTAATGAATAGCTGTTCTGTGTTAACAATTTTTTTCTTGAAAAGTAACAACTGAAATTAAACTTTAGAAGGCAAGATATCTCCAAAATGTTCAATGTAAATGCTGCAGGTATTCATTAATCCTGTTGACATATACTATGGACTGGGATGTAGTCCTGGTGGACCACAACACTGCAGAGTTCTATATAGAGTCTGATACACCTTGCCTGAGTAATTAGCTAATGAGTTAAATCTGGCATGTTACAGCAGGGAAAACACCAACACGTGTTAGAATGTGGCCCTCCAGGGCTGGAGCTGTGCGGCCCTGCTACAGAAATCTTTACCGCACTCCTTAGAGCCTCACAGCCTGTAAACAATTAATCACCAGCAGCCAGCACCAGCACTCCTGCCTGTAACAGTACAAAACAACAGCATACAAAACAGCCACTGCAGCACAACAGCAGGATGTTCTGACAGCTGCATGCACTAGTGCTGCAATAACAGGGCTGAGTTTAGTTTAGTTTAGTTTGGTTTGTCTATTTCTTCAAGGACCATGTACAAAAATATCTCAAGATGCTTTGCATCATTTCCATCTGTGGGCAGCCCATGGTCAGGCAGACATAGAGCTAGTTTCTAGACCCAGATTAAGTTTAAGCCTAATAAGAATTTCCTAGGATCATTCACCACTGGCACTGGAATTTACTCCAAGACCAGGCTTAGTTCATGTCTGGGAAACTGGCCAAACTTGGTACAACATACACAGTAAATACTAAGCGAAAATAGATTGAATTAGAAGAACAGGAAAAATCATAACTGTTCAAATGGAGTTCCAGTGCCTTTGGTGTTTGGAACCCTAAATACAATTCAAGATACAATTTATGCAAAAATCACTGCTGACCCTGAACAAGTAACCAACTCTCTCCTCCACGTTTTTGTTCTACAGTATGTAATCATGCTAATATGTAATTAGAACTGTGATGTTTTACCTTTTCAAAGTTTTCAAAGTCTTTCCATGTAAAGCACTATGTTTCTCAACTAAAATGCAAACTGCAGTATTAATAAAGATTATTAGTATTACCGTTGTCCCAATCACTACAAATATAGTCAGTCATATGCATGCATCCACACTTGCCACAACACTGATATATGGTAGAATCTCTTTCAACAGTTAGCATGTTTAATGTAACTATATAGTTGAATTCCTAGCATACAAGAGGTAAATGAACATAGTCCGTTCATTTGTGGCATCTCTCCAAACATCAAACCTATTCATGGTACACAGAGAAAAGTCCTCACCAATGGTTAAAACACACGAAGCAAAATAAATAAGAAACTCATTCATAATAATGATAATAAACCAACAGTCAGACAAGGATCAAAAAATACAAGACTTAAAAGGCACTAGATGAAGAAATATGTCATGGCTCAGTTCACAAATCTTCACAAGCACTAAGGAAACATATGGGGCTTTCGATTCACATGATCCTTGTTAACTCATAAAGTCGGAAAATTGTGATATCAACCAATCACAACCGCTAGTTTGAGTGTATCAGCAAATACATGTATTCAGTGGGATGGACCAATGATGTGGCTCACAATGCAAAGACAATGAAAGCCAGACAGGAACACTGCTGTTTGTTGTTGCTTTTGGAATTGTTGCTTTCAGAATTGCTTTTATGTTTACCATTAACTTGACATATTCTTGGCCAGTTTGGTCTGCTGTGTTGCTATAGCATCATTAAACATACTGGCTGGTGATATGTCGTAAGTCATAAACAGGCATAATGTGGCATTTGCATGAGTTTACCAGTTGTATTCATGACTTCATCAGCTGCTTTATAACCTTTAATTTGCAATTTTATGAGTTTACAATGACTGTGCAAATGCATTGATATACACAGAGTTAACAAGGCAAACAGTGCGGAAACAGTGATGCTAAAGACAGCTGAACCACCAGAGAACCAGACATACACATGCACTGACTGATTATCACCTACACGATATGTAAAACTATTAGGTTAGAATACAAATGGTTATTTTGTCCAATTAAATCAGTGTTCTCATGATTACTTAGCATTGATACCTCACAAGAAAAAAAAACGTGATCAACAAATTCTGTAGAGAGGCCAGATGCACTGGCATCCTGTTCCACAGAATTAAATGAATGCATATTTTCGGTGCTGAAAACAGCAGTACTTTTATTTCAAAGAGTACAAGCGCTTGCTCAGCAACTGCACACATTCTACACATCACCAAAGAGAGAGAGAGAGAGAGAGAGAGAGAGAGAGAGAGAGAGAGAGAGAGAGAGAGAGAATCTTTGCATGTACATACTTTTGCTTAGAATTAAGAAGAGGAGGTGCTTACTCTTTTGGATGACGCACACACACACACACACACACACACACACACACACACTCTCCTTGCTCTGGTATTATGAGGAAGCAGTAGGCAGCATTTCTCTGTACCAATTCTGCACGGTCATCCCAGCACAGCGTTTGATGCTGGGGCACTAGGAGTAAGCAGCTCAACTCATCCTGGCCTGGTTTTCTGAAAGCATGGCAATCATAGTTATGTGGTAGAGCGAGTATCGCTGAGAACACTCCACCATGTAAAACTGAACATTATGCTCTGGCCTTTTTGGAAATGCAGCTTGTTCAGACCAGAACTGCAGTACTGAAACCTAAATAACACAGTGACAATCAGTCAGCCAGTTACTGTGTGTGGCAGTTTGCTTTGTAGTCTTCAGCCAGGTAAAATACCAATGTACAAACCAGCTGATAATCATTGTGTTGAACAGATGTAAAAAGTTTGGAATCACCACTTGGAGGTTTGGACCTGTTTTCAATAATATAAAATCTTTTTGGTTGCGGATAAATGTATAAAATGATTCTAATATGGTGCTAGTACTCTACATCTTCACAACTTAAGGTTCTACATAACTTGTAGGAAGCTGGAAAAAATAAGACATCTTACATATGTATAGAGTATGTATAGAACTGTATATGATTCAAGTATGGCTGAGAAGCTGTATAACAGTAAAGGGTTATAATTCAAGATGCCTCATATTTCAAAAGTAGTGATCAAGTTTCAAGGCAGATAACAAAAAGTACAATTATTATGAATAGATTATTACAGTATAAAGTGAAAGAAGTTCTTCTATTATTCACATAATTATGTGTCTTGATGACATTCTATAGGATATGTCCATGCTAAAAGGCCTGTTTGTTTAAATTAACCTCATGAAAGTGTGTGTGTGTGTGTGTGTTTGTGTGTGTGTTACAGATATGCCAGTCTGTATTTCTGCTGTGCCATTGAGGACCAGGATAATGAGCTGATCACCCTTGAGATCATTCATCGCTATGTTGAGCTGCTGGATAAATACTTTGGCAGTGTAAGTGTCTTCTTACTATTCACAATCCATTTGTAGAGGTCATACATTTTACAAGAGTGTTCTGATCAGCACTTTAATGCATGAGTGTTTCACCAACTGCACATAACTGGGCTTGTTAGCAACTTGGCAGGTATATCCAGTGTGACATGGTACAAAGCATATGTTACAGTAATGTGATCTGAGGCAGAATATATGGCTCATTCTACTGTATTGGTTCAAAGTCAAAGTTTAAAACACATTTTGGACTTTTAACTAACTTGGGCTTCAGACTAAAATCCTTTTGCTTTGAATGGCCCTGTGCCTTAATTAAGTTTATTTTATTTAAACAAATGATTAAACATTGAGTTTTGTCACTAGCAAAACAATCATATCACTGCTGAAGCTTCATCAAAGGTTTTGGTAGTGACTGTTTTGGTAGTGATTTTAGCTCATTTTGAGCATAGCTTAAAAACGCTAGCCAGTACATGACTAGCAAACACATCTTTGAACAATGTGTACACTAATAAGATCATAGTAATTTTAATTCTTTATTTAACTGCAATAAATATGTGTATAGTTAGTGACAGTTCTTAAGGTTACACACTGATTTTCAGAATTTGGGACACATTTACTTTCGAAACAGTGGAATTTAACTGCTCACCATGTGGTCATGAGTTTTGCTGCCTCCTGTAAAACTCCTATGGACTAAAATTCTTTCTGCTTCAGTAGTGACATGAAAATGTGGGACAACATATGTTTTTTTATTTATAACTTGAACTGTTAAACATAAATATTTTAACTTTTAAGGAAATAAAAAAATTATTTAAGGAAAAAAAAGGAAAGAAAATACCAAAAAAAAAAAGTATTATTTTCACAAGTTAAAATGTAGGGATTAGGGTTTGGGACAGCCACCTCCCAATAGAAAGTACCCTATAATTGGTGATTTTATATACATATTTTGCTTATTACTATCTCAATTAATATCCCAGATCTGAAAATTAACCCCTTTAAATGGTCAGGGCCAGCCACTGGGACCAAAGGTTTATTACACACTTCTATAACCTAAGAATAGCTCAACCAATTTGCATTGAAGTCCCTGTAGTTACTGAATAATAAGCCTTAGTATGTAATAAACCGAGTTTTCAAAAATAGTTTTTTACTGTGTAACTGCGGTTTGAACCAATTTGGTAGAATGGTGCATATATGAAAGCATATGATGTAAGGCTTTGTGAAAGTTATACATTTAAGTAATAGGCAAGGCAGCAGACAGAGTAACAAACACTATGAAAGCACATGACAAAACAATTGGACAGTGCGTGTTATTGGCATCAAGAATGTCAAGAGATAAACCGCACAGGACAGTCTGACACCTGTTACAACCATCAAAATGGCTTCCAGTATATATAGAAGATCAACTACATAGCAGAAAAATCAAAAGAAGAATAATCAAAATCTGTTGTAATTATGATTTAATAAGTATAATTAATGTAATAAATAATTTATTAAGTAATCTGATTACAGTTTACACCAACATTGCTAACACAAATTGATTTAAAACTTCTAATATAGCGTAAAACTGTCAAAACATTTCATTGCCTGTAAGAAAGTGATACAATTCTAATAAAAAAGTTTCATTTATCTAAAAAAGTTAACAAAGTGGAGGGGGGAATGAGGTCATTGGTTACTAGCTACACGAGGTATGTTTTTAAATGTCAAGCTGGTGTTTCTTTCTTTCTGCAGGTGTGTGAGCTGGACATCATCTTTAACTTCGAGAAGGCGTACTTCATCCTGGACGAGTTTCTTCTGGGTGGAGAGGCTCAGGAGACTTCCAAGAAGAACGTCCTGAAGGCAATCGAGCAGGCCGACCTGCTGCAGGAGGTAAACTAGTACTGACCATGCTTTACAATACACTGCTCTTTCAAACTATACCTTACTACATACATCACTGAAGCAGTGTAATTTTATCCATTGGTCTTTATCATGTACTACTAATATTAGTGGATATTCATATGTTGAGTGCCTGATGAGTAGGAGTGGGCGATATGATGATATAATCAGCCTTTATAAGCATATCATGGGTATCATCAGTACTTAAAGAAAACTGAGTGAACACAAGACACCAGTGTTTCATTAAGAATTTATCCAGGGCTCTCAAGTGGCATAGCTGCCCCCTATTGTCAGCAGATCTTCCAGGAGTCCATAATTGGTCCTGGTTAATTGGAGATTGGAGCCAATGTTGTGCCGTATAGGGAACATATCAGTGTACTTACAGTAGAACTCCAGTTTTGCTGGTCCACTGTGTTCCAACTTATCAAAACCTCAGACAAAAAATGAAATACTGTCATATATATCATGACATATTGTGTAAAATCTCTTTGTTATTAATTTTTTTGCCCTGTTGCTCACCCAATCTGGTAACTTGGCTATAAAGGATTGCAGTGAAACAGATAAGTAGGCTTGTTGATGAAATAGTCTTTTGAATGCTGTGCTTACTGGCATTGGAAACAGGATTAGGATTAAGGCTTAAACCTTTGATGTTAAACCCAAAGGCATGCCAACAACTCCTCTAAAAGGCTCTGACTCCAAATCTCTGCTCTAAGCCCTTCCCATCAATCCGGACTTCAACAGATGTCTCTTCCGATTTAGACATCTTCAAATCTTTCTCTTTATACTTCCTCTTCCACTTATTACTCTTTGTCTCTGTATCTATCTCTCTATCTCTCTCTCTCTCTCATGCTGTTTTTATGGTATTATTTTCAAGCTGTCTCATTAGTTGTCAGGGCAGCGTTCTGCATGGTGTGAGGGTGAGGTGATTTCTCTGTGGGGGGACTTTTTAATTTGAGCAGCCTCGAGGAGCTTTAATAACTGCACTCTTTTGCTCTCTCTTACTTGTTCCCTCTCATTCTCCCTCTCTCGCCGTAGAACTGTAGAGCTCATGCCAGCAGGTCTGGAGCTGTTGCAGCTCTACAAGCTGACTCACTGAGTACACTCTGTGTGTGATGGTAGACACACAAACACACACAGACACACACACACATGCAAGGATGGACAATCATTCACTCACTCACAATGATGATCACACACTAGGGCTGCACAGTGTGGACATATTGCAATCATATGGCTACATGCTCACAATATATTAAAGTAATATATTAAAAATGTTGAAAGCATTATTATGACTCAAAGATTTTTTTTCAGGTCATCTGAAATGCTTTGATTTATCCAGATTTCCACAGAAACATAATCAGACAATACAGCACACACACTTGCACTCTAGGGATGCACAATGATATTGGTATCTGCAGATAATTGCGAGAGAGAGATATTTACATTTGACAGATTTTTCACACCAATAATTGATGACATTTTTATTGTACTCTGGAAGTGCAGACGCTGGATTACTGTGTTAAATTGTCAGCATTTACTGAACCCTATAGAAATAGAAATAAATGTTCGATTTTATAAAGGGCTTTTTACATGGCAAGCAACAGTCACGCATCCCCCAGTAATTTTCAAAGAGAGGCAGGCGGACAGGCAAAGCGACGCTGGTGGAGCAGCAGGTGGTGTGACAAGACAAGTGAGCTCAACCCCAAGAAACCATTGTGCGCATCCTCGAGATGAGCACACACAAGCTCACCTCTGAGCTGAAAGTTTTCAACTTTTGTGGTAACGCGACATTAAAGCTGCTGTGATCCAATGAAATCACAGGTTGTACTGAGGAGTTAATGAAGGAACGCCTAAACCTGGCAGCTGCAGAGTTTCCTGAGCTGTATAGCATTTTTTAATCTAAATACATAGATACATTCACCAAAGAGCTATGTCATGGCATCTGTCTTTGGCTCTTGCATAAGATGGTGAAATTGCCCAAATAAGTGTTTGGGGGGGGCAGATGGAATGTCCCTGCACTGGTCATCTTCTTTTTGTCTTATAAGCCAAGTAGAGTCCAGTAATTTGGCAAAACAGATACAGTTACCTGTGTTAAAACAGTAAGTCTTGTTTATTAGCATGTCTGTTAAACTGTTTTTGATTTTTATTCTTAGTTTCAATGTTTTTCTTGATTCCTATTTTCATGTTTTAAATATTTATGCAATCTGGATATGAGCAACTTTCGTTTGCTGTATGAAAAGCTGTTCTGAGCGGTGAAGTTCTTACCTTTCATACGGAAAGCAGCGAGACAGGTGGAACAGGGAGCGATTTGTCGCTTGCCATATGAAAAGTTGAAAAATGAGAGGAATACTGAAAGAATACAATTGTAAGTTAACCATGTTGTTGTCGCTCTTCTACCATAGGTTAGCTGTGTGAGTCACTGCCACAGTAAATCACACAAACAACCTTTTTTGTCTGTTTTTAACAGAAATTATCACCAGTGCAATAATGCTAATTTCTGCTAGCCTTTCTATGTTGTTTTTAGTGTTATATCATCACTGAGCTAACCATGGCAGAAGTTCACTTTCCATGCTTTAGTATTACCCTACTTAAACGCAAGATGAATTTGGATATCTGAATGCTCTGGTAGTTGCATCCAGTCACTCCATCCCTCTCCAATTTTGTTAGCAGACTATGGTTGTGTCGTAGTGAAGTTAAGGTGATATTAAGCGATATTACTTTATCTACTTTTGGCATCATAGCTCCCAAACTCTTTCCTGCCCAAAGTGTTCCTTTCATTTTTGGCCACTAGGGTTGGGACTATCTGAAATTAGGGTGACATCATTGTTCTTTAATGCTAACCCAGGTAGATGTAGGCCCAATTTCTACATTTTATAAGTATGTATGTGTTGACATTGGCAGATATTTCTATAAAAAATATTGGATAATGACATCAGCACACAAATCCCATATCAGTGCATCCCTAAGCCTGACACACTACTCACCTACTCTGTTAGAATGACACAAACATAGACACACATCATTATAATGTCACTAAAAAGACTGACAAACTCTGCTGCTCTAAGAAGAACAGAACGGAGCTGGTTTTGGTCAGCGTTCTGCTGCAGTCACTTTCACAAACCTTCTGGTCACACTTTCCTGTTCCAGAGCGGAATCACACAGTGGAGTAAATGGCACTTATTACTGCAGGCTGGCCCAGTCTGATGGCCTTTGATTAAGCGTGCACAGCGATGACAGAAATAGATACTATTGTTGGGGGAGCGTCATACGCTTGTGCAGAAGCAGCCTGACACACTGCAGCTGCTCTTTATCTCAGCATGGTAATTACTGCTGACATTTCAGTGCCTTTTGCCAGCTATCCTTCTTGTCTTTCCATTTTTGTTTTTTTTTCTATCTTCTCCGCTTCTTGTTTCTGTCATTGCGCTTTGTTCGAGCACAGAAGTACTTTTTTTTTATTTTGTTCCTTTGACTCCACTTGACATGATTTCTTTCTGTCTTTCTTTCTGTTCTCTCTTGCTCCCTGTCCTGTTTCTGTTTTCCTCTCTCTCTGTGATTTACAGAATCTAGATTTTCAGATCCGTCTCTTTCCAGGTATAGTGTCTTGATTATTGATTATTGATTAGAAAACCCAGTGAGACTGTAGTCCCCTCTTCTGTGCCCTAAAGCCCTCTCCTAGCTAGTAGTTATCAATCAACAACTAACCTGTCAGAGTTGGGGGCTCACATACCAGCAACACTGCCATTTAGGAGATTATGTAGGTAACCAAATGTTACAAAAAATGGTCCAGATTTGAATTATCAGATTAAAACACCATCTTGTTCGAATGCTGTTGATGTGTTGGCCAGCTAATTTTATTTTTATTACATGGTTATTATATGCTCATTTTATTAGACTACATTGACTACACTGGGTTCTTTCACACTGGGTTGAGTAACACTGCCTTTAAACTACCCTCTCCTTGAGACAAAATGCTGGCATAACCATTAGGTGATATTTAACATTTAACTAGCCTTACAGTGAGGGAATACATCAGCGATATTTTTAATTAAACATATTTCCATTGCAGCTATTCACATGAAATTTAGACCCAACATTGGATTTTAACTCAATAAAACTGCACAGCTGAAGAAATCACAACATTCGCCAATCGATAAATAAGGTTTTGTGCAATATAGTGGAATGACACGGGAAAAAGCCTTTGTTTGCAGTAACAACTTGAAAATGCTTCCTGTATGAAGAAACTAACCTCTCGCAGTGTTCAGGTGGGATTTTGTCCCGTTCTGCACAGACAGTCTTTAATCCTGAAGATTCTGTGGGGCCTGCCGGTGAATCTTGATCTTTAGTTCCTTCTGAAAATTTTCTGTTTGGTTTTTATTGAGTCTTCTTTGCAGTATGTTTTGGATCGTTGCCCTGCTGGAAGGTCCACCCACGTCTCATCCTCATCGTCCGAGTGGATGGCAACAGATTCTTCTCAAGAATTTCCCAGTTCCTGGCTCCATTCATCTTCCCTTCGATAATTTGGATTCTGCCTGTAACATGAGAAGTGAAACAGCCATGATGCATCCACCTCCAAACTTTACTATAGATATGGTATTTTTAGGGTCACATGCAGAGCCATTTCTTCTCTAAACATAGTGCATCAAATTGTTGCTGAAGGGTCGATTTTTGTCTTGTCTGACTACACTATGTTCTCCCAGTGATCTACAGTCTTCTCCAAATGTGCAGTACCAAGTTTCAGATGCGCTTTAACGTTCCTTTTCTTTAGTAATGAAGTCTTTCATGATGATTGCAAATGGAGCTTGTGGCGGTGGGGTGCATTGCCTGTTGTTTTCTCTGTGACAACTGTACCTGCTGCTTCTAGGTCTTTCTGGAGCTCTTTTCAAGTGGTTCTTGGCTCTTGGGCTACTCTTCTGACAAACTTTCTGGCTGCCTGGTCGTAAATCTTGCGAGGAGCTCCTGTGCTTGGCCAACTGATGGTCAAGTGATGTTTC